CACGTGCATCAAGCCGCCCTCGCCCTCGCCCTCGCCCTCGCAGGCTGTTTGGCCGGAATGGAATCCTGGGTGACCGTCCTCTCTCATCGCCTGGCAGCCACGTCTCTCAGGGGTGTTGGGGTCCCCCGTCTCTGTTCCCAGGAGTGTCTTCTTTCCAAGCGGCTGCCACCCAGGGGGTGATGTGACTCCGTGCCGTTTCACATGGGTGCCTGCTGCTCGGGGTTTGTGTGGCCCAGTGGTCAGCGAACTCACACATCCACTGAGCCCAATATCAACGGCACAACGATGGCCATTTCTTTGGAGAGCCACATTTTTTAAACTTAAACTTCTTCTAATGTCACTTTTTCAACATAGACTCGCCCAGGCCGTGGTGCTTTGTGGAAGAGCCACACTCAAGGGCCAAAGAGCCGCATGTGGCTGGAGAGCCACGGTTTGCTGACCTCGGGCTTAGTCTTTTGGACATGGTGTTTTCGCCCTGGGCCACCGCAGCCGGCACTTCCTCATGTGCAGCCTCTCAGCTGCCTCCTGCACACCTCCCGCTGGGTATGTGCCCTTGATGGAATCGAACCCGAGACCCTTCAGTCTGCAGGCCGACGCTCTGTCCGCTGAGCCACACGCGTTAGGGCTGTTTACATTTTTTAAAATTCTCTTTGCCATGTCTCCATCTGTTTCTGACCAGCTTTCCTCCTCAGCTGATGGATGTTTCTCTCTCTCCTCTCTCTCTCCCCCCGCCTCGCCCTTCCACTCTCTCTAAAGTCAGTAAAAACATATTTAATGGCTCCCCAGGAGGCTGTCTCCGCGGTGTTGCTGAGGACGCACCGCCCAAGTTAAACCCTCCAGCTGCCTCCCCTTCGCCCACGGCAGTGTGAGCCTCGGACCAGCGCTGACGGAATCAGACATGGCACCGGGTTATCGTCTGTGTCGCTTTATTCTGGGGTCACCTCCCGCCTCCGTCCCGTGACTCGGTCCTCCCGGCCCAGCGCCCGGCCGTTCTGCAGAGCATCCTCCGTGCGCACGCCGGCTCCGCCCTGTGCTCGGACGGGCGGCCTCTCGCCGGGATCCTCGCGTCCGGCTCCGGGTGCCGTGTGGGGAGGCACCTGACACCCGCTGGCCCGTGTGGCCGATGCTGCCTCCGATCGTTCCGAGCGTGCGTGACCTCGCCGCCGGGTGGAGTTACTGCCGTCCCTTTGGAGGAGCTGAGCTTCCCGCCCGTGCCAGCCCCGCCGGCGGGCCCTTCGGCACTCACCGCTGGCCGTCGTGGAGCAGCACGTCCCCCACCCCCATTTCTTTAAAAAAATATATATATATGTTAGTTAATCCTCACCCAAGGGTATTTTCCCTTTGATTGTTGGAGTGGAAGAGAGGGGGAGAGACAGAGAGAAACATCCGTGTGAGAGACACACATTGATGGGCCACGGCCCAGGCCTGGGAGGAACGTGCTTTGAGCAGAATCAAACCCGGGACCCTATGATCTACAGGCCGACGCTCTATCCACTGAGCCACACTGGCCAGGGCCCCCTACTTTTTCTTTTTTACTCCTTTATTTATTCTGTTGAGTACTTGGTGTTAATGTAGAGGTTTCTATTCTAACGTGTGTCTCAAATTTGACAGAGTAGTCCCAGCCCGGACCTCCCATCCCCAGCCCAGGGGGTTGGTCTTGGAGTCAGGGTTCTGTGCGGGTCTGCTCCCTGCTGCTGGGGTGCCTGGTCCGGGCTCAGAGCTGAGCATTTGAACTTTCCATGACCAGGGGCTGAGCATCCACCTAGGAACCAGGGGCTCAGGATTCGATTTCTAGCCAGGGCACAGGGTTGTGGGCTTGATCCCCAGTGGGGGCATGCAAGAGGCAGCCAGTCCATGATTCTCGCTCTCATCATTGATGTTTCTGTCTGTCTGTCTCTCTCTCCCTTCCTCTCTGAAATCAATAAAAACATATGTATATATTTTTAACAAAATAAAAGCGGACAAGGATGTGTGTGCGGCAGAAGCCGATGTGGCCGAGCGCCTGCCGTGGCCTCGATGGGGACCGGGGTGCCGTAACGGTGGGGTTTGCGTCTCCCCTTTCTTCAGGGAGACTCACCAGGGACCCGCCGTCCTGTCCGAGTCCAGCCTCCGGGCGTCTTTATCTCTCGCATGTGCCTCCACGCAATGCCGCTCACTCTGCTGCTTTCTTTGAGGCCAGTGTGCTCTGTCCTGGGGTGTCGAGGTCCTGTAGCTCCATGTTTGCGGGGTGTCCACCTCCCAGCGCAGCACGGCGACTCTGCAGCACGGCCGGCCTGACGGCTGCCCGCCCGCCCGCCTCGTCCCAGCAGCGCCTGGGCCTCCCGAGCAGGGCCCTGGGCGCCCCGTGGCCGGTCTGTCTCACCTGGGGGCGGGGGCAGATATTTGTTCTCAGGTGTCTGGTTCTGTTCCCACCTTCGAGGTCCTCCCTCCCTTCGCCCACTCCCCGCGGGTTCCCTCCGTCCCAGACAGGAGTCCTTCCTTGGGATCGACCGTGCCAGTCATTGTTGTCTGGGGGTGGCTTGTAGCCACGGCCACGCTGTTTGCGAACCCCGGATCTCAGAGACCGCCTCCTGTTTTCTCCGGGAAAGTGTCATCCTTTCGTGTCTGAGGTTCAGGTCCGAGGTCCCATTCTGTTGTTGCTGGGCGAGGGGTGAGGCTGAGGCCGGGGCTCTGTGTGTGATGCCCGGTGACCAGGCGTGCCCTGCGTGGCGTGGCGTGTGCCCTCTGTCACAGACCGCCGAGCGTGTTCGTGTGCACAGCCCTGGTTCTGGGCCACGAGCTGCCTCCGTCCGGTGTGAGTCAGCACCTGTGCCCGCTGTTTGGAGCCCCCTGTCTGCGCCCGCTGTTCGGAGCCCCCACCCTCTCCTGTGCCCGCTGTTCGGAGCCCCCTGTCTGTGCCTGCTGTTCGGAGCCCCCTGTCTGTGCCCGCTGTTCAGAGCCCCCGCCCCCTGTCTGTGCCTGCTGTTCGGAGCCCCCACCCTGTCCTGTGCCTGCTGTTCGGAGCCCTCGCCCCCTGTCTGTGCCTGCTGTTCGGAGCCCCCACCCTGTCCTGTGCCCGCTGTTCGGAGCCCCCACCCTGTCCTGTGCCCGCTGTTCGGAGCCCCCTGTCTGTGCCAGCTGTTCAGAGCCCCCACCCTGTCCTGTGCCCGCTGTTCGGAGCCCTCGCCCCCTGTCCTATGCCCGCTGTTCAGAGCCCCCACCCTGTCCTGTGCCCGCTGTTCGGAGCCCCCTGTCTGTGCCCGCTGTTCGGAGCCCCCTGTCTGTGCCCGCTGTTCGGAGCCCCCACCCTGTCCTGTGCCCGCTGTTCGGAGCCCCCTGTCTGTACCCGCTGTTCAGAGCCCCCACCCTGTCCTGTGCCCGCTGTTCGGAGCCCCCTGTCTGTACCCGCTGTTCGGAGCCCCCACCCTGTCCTGTGCCCGCTGTTCGGAGCCCCCTGTCTGTGCCCGCTGTTCAGAACCCCCTGTCTGCCCGCTGTTTGGAACCCCCTGTCTGTGCCCGCTGTTCAGAGCCCCCACCCTGTCCTGTGCCCGCTGTTCGGAGCCCCCGCCTGGAGGCCCCGTGGCTGCTGGTTGAAGTGGGGCCGTGGGTGGTAAAGGCCGCAGCCCACTTGGGAGCCGCCCTGGGGTGGCAGGGGGCCCCTGGGTCCCTGCTCGGGGACCTCAGTATCCTGGGCAGAGTCTCTGCAGCGGCCACGCCCCCGCCCACCAGGGGCTGCCCCGCCTGCCAGGCTGAGTGACCCACCCGAGGCCACATCATGGAGACACATCCGGGCACAGCTCCCCGGTTCCAGAACCCGCTAACGGAGGAACCGGGGCACCTCTCCAGGTGCCCCTGGGGCTGGTATTTTTAGCCGGCGTGGACCTGGCTCGTGCCCAGCAGGGATAGCGAGCTCTCGCCTGCTCTGGATCTGACTCTGGCTCCTGGGGGCTGGGCTGGGGGGCGCGGGGCACGCGGCGTGCTGTTTAGAGAAAGCGCAGGACGTGCGGCTGCCCGGCTCTGTAAACGCACGGCGCCAGGCTGCCTGTCTGCCCGCCGTGCCCACAGTGGCAGGGGGAGGGGGAGGGAATGTTGTAAGATGCCAGGGGTGTCCCTGCACCCTCAGTGCCGGGGTGGGGGGGTCCGGGTGTGGAAGATTCTCTATTGCTCTCGGCTGATCCCCCCCAACCAGCTGTGTCCCCCCACATGCCTCCTGGGGAATGCCCCCCGACTCCGCCCTCCTCTGTGCGGCTGAGGCCTGCTAACTGGGGGGCCGGGGGGTCCCCTCTCTCCTGGAATCGGGCCGCAGCTGGACTGACGTCACTGACTGGCCGGTGCCCCCTACGAACGGTCTGAGCCAAGGGCACAGGGGGCAGAGGGGGGCAGTGGCCTTGGCCCCTGGGGGACTCGGGCAGCACCGGGCACGGGGGGCTGGGCCCTCTGTAGTCTGTGTTGGCACCGCCCTGCCCGCCCCTGCCCCTCGTTTCCTGGCCCTTGGGCAGCAGTGGGCATGGTGGGTGCCCAGCACATGCTTCGTAGACCTGCCTCCTGAGCCCCACCCGGCCCCCAGCCCCATGTAGCCGCAAGCCTGCCGGCTCAGGGTCCCTGACTGCACCCCTCTCCCTCCCCGAGGGTCTGTCAGGAACGCTTGCAGCTGCCGCCTGCCATTGTGGCTGGCGAGTGCTTAGCAGACAGGATCGAGCAGCCTCTCGCCAGGCAGGGACGGTGCAGCCTCCGGGGGGCGCCACTCACGGAGGGGCTGTGCCCCCTCCTGTGGGCCTCGCCCGAGCCTCTGCTGGTCGATCAACGCTCCCAGGAGCCCTGGGGCCTCGGCGACTTGTTCTGGGCACACGGCCGGGCGGGCGGGAACGCCTCCCCTGCCCTCCTCGCCCTCTTGTTCGTTCTGGTCCTCCCTGCAGACTGCAGGGGACCCTGGGCTGGGCGGGCGGGGAGGGTGCAGAGTCAGCACGGCCGCTCCGCCAGGCATGCCCCTGGGGCCCCTGACCGCGGTTCTGTGCCCGCAGTGCCCGAGAAGCCGGAGCCAGTGCCGCTGGAGAGCCGCTCCTGCGTCCTCATCCGCCGGGACCTGGTGGCCCTGCCCGCCAGCCTCATCAGCCAGATCGGGTACCGCTGCCACCCCAAGCTGTACTCGGAGGGCGACCCGGGCGAGAAGCTGGAGCTGGTGGCAGGTGAGGCCCTGGCCGTGGGGCCGAGCCCGGATGGCTTTCCCCTGAGCCACGAGCCACGTCCTCCGCGCCATCCCTCAGGAGGGCAGACGGGGCGTCTCTGTCCCTCTGGCGTCCCCTCAGAATGTGCATTGGGGTCGGTCAGAGGCGCTGACCCAGCATTTCACTCCCATCTCTGGGCTGGGTCGGCTCGGAGGGCGGGCGGCAGCCTCGACTGTCAAAGATAGAACCAGGAATGCAGTTTGGAATCCCCCCATCCAGACCCTGAGCCCGAGTGCCCCCTAACCCTCATGGTGCCCCCCGACCCCCATGGTGCCCCCCCGACCCCCATGGTGCCCCCCGACCCCCATGGTGCCCCCCCGACCCCCATGGTGCCCCCCGACCCCCATGGTGCCCCCCCCGATCCCCATGGTGCCCCCCGACCCCCATGGTGCCCCCGCCGGCCCCCATGGTGCCCCCCCGCCATGTCTGCAGGGCCGGGCGTTGTGAGCAGGTCAGAAGCCCATCAGGGTCATGTCTTTGTCAGAAAATTTATCTTTTCTTTTTTAAATTGATTTCAGAGAGGAAAGGAGAGGGAGAGAGAGAAACATCCATGATGAGAGAGAATCATGGATCGGCTGCCTCCTGCACGCCCCCCACTGGGGATCAAGCCTACAACCCAGGCCTGTGCCCTGGCCGGAATCGAACCCAGAACCTCCTTGTTCCTAGGTCGATGCTCACCCCCTGAGCCAGGCTCTCAGGCTGTCAGGCTATAAGGGGAGATGATGCTGAGGGCATGGCACTCTCACTGGTGACACCAGCCCTGCCGGCCTCCGCCCTCACCCACCTCGGTGTCTGCATCTCACAGGGCCCAGCAGGGAGCTCCCTGAGGGAGGCTGGGCGGGCAGCTCAGGGACAGCCCCAGGGGACAGGGCCCCGGGCCTGGCAGGTCCCACTCACAAAGCTCCGGAGGCCCGCTGCCCCCCTCCTGCCCCCCCCCCCCCCCGCTGTGCCCGGCGCGGCTCACCATGTGCCTCCACAGGCTCCGGCGTCTGCATCACACGGGGCCAACTCATGAACTGCCACCTGTGCGCGGGCGTCAAGCACAAGGTGCTGCTGCGCCGGCTGCTCGCCACCTTCTTCGACAGGTGGGTCCGCCCGGAAGCTGGTCCCCGAGCCCCAGCCCCCCCCCCCCACCTCTGACCTCACCCAGCACCCAGCACGCGGGGGAGGTCCCCCCAAAGTGAGCAGCCCTCCCCAAGGGCTTTCCTCCCCCCCCCCGGGCCTGGTACCCCCCACGGTACCCTCCACCCCGGGTGAGCGCAGTCCCGCCCGGGGAGGCCGGACTTCTGAGCCGTCCAGCGTGAGGCGGAAGGCCAGCGTTCCCGGCCTCACCGCCCCTCCCTCCCTCCTCCTCCAGGAACACGCTGGCCAACAGCTGTGGCACCGGCATCCGCTCGTCCACCAGCGACCCCAGCCGCAAGCCGCTGGACAGCCGGGTCCTCAATGCTGTTAAACGTGAGGCCTGGGCCCGAGGGGGGGGGACCTGGGGGGGGGCTGGGGACTGGGAGGCTGGGGGGGATGGGGGAACGGGGGGATGGGGGGCCGGGTGCCAGGGGGGGGCCAGGGGACTGGGAGGCTGGGGGGATGGGGGAACGGGGGGATGGGGGGCCGGGTGCTGGGGTGAGGGGGGCCGGGGGTATGGGGGCCTAGGGGGATGGGGGCCGGGGGGATGGGGGCCTAGGGGGGGTGGGAGGCCTGGCAGGGGGAACAGGGGGATGGGGGGCCGGGGGGATGGGGGCCTAGGGGGGGTGGGAGGCTGGGGGGAACAGGGGGATGGGGGCCGGGGGGATGGGGGCCTAGGGGGGGTGGGAGGCTGGGGGGAACAGGGGGATGGGGGGCCGGGGGGATAGGGGCCTAGGGGGGGTGGGAGGCCTGGCAGGGGGAACAGGGGGATGGGGGGCCGGGGGGATGGGGGCCTAGGGGGATGGGGGCCTAGGGGGGGTGGGAGGCCTGGCAGGGGGAACAGGGGGATGGGGGCGGGGGGATGGGGGCCTAGGGGGGGTGGGAGGCTGGGGGGAACAGGGGGATGGGGGCGGGGGGATGGGGGCCTAGGGGGGGTGGGCAGCCCGGCAGGGGGAACAGGGGGATGGGGGCCGGGGGGATGGGGGCCTAGGGGGGGTGGGAGGCCTGGCAGGGGGAACAGGGGGATGGGGGCGGGGGGATGGGGGCCTAGGGGGATGGGGGCCTAGGGGGGGTGGGAGGCTGGGGGGAACAGGGGGATGGGGGCCGGGGAGATGGGGGCCTAGGGGGGGTGGGAGGCTGGGGGGGAACAGGGGGATGGGGGGCCGGGGAGATGGGGGCCTAGGGGGGGTGGGAGGCTGGGGGGGAACAGGGGGATGGGGGCCGGGGAGATGGGGGCCTAGGGGGGGTGGGAGGCTGGGGGGGAACAGGGGGATGGGGGGCCGGGGAGATGGGGGCCTAGGGGGGGTGGGAGGCTGGGGGGGAACAGGGGGATGGGGGCCTAGGGGGATGGGGGCCTAGGGGGGGTGGGAGGCTGGGGGGAACAGGGGGATGGGGGCCGGGGGGATGGGGGCCTAGGGGGGGTGGGAGGCTGGGGGGAACAAGGGGATGGGGGCGGGGGGATGGGGGCCTAGGGGGGGTGGGAGGCTGGGGGGAACAGGGGGATGGGGGCGGGGGGATGGGGGCCTAGGGGGGGTGGGAGGCCTGGCAGGGGGAACAGGGGGATGGGGGCGGGGGGATGGGGGCCTAGGGGGGGTGGGAGGCTGGGGGGGAACAGGGGGATGGGGGCGGGGGGATGGGGGCCTAGGGGGGGTGGGAGGCTGGGGGGGAACAGGGGGATGGGGGCGGGGGGATGGGGGCCTAGGGGGGGTGGGAGGCTGGGGGGGAACAGGGGGATGGGGGCCGGGGGGATGGGGGCCTAGGGGGGGTGGGCAGCCCGGCAGGGGGAACAGGGGGATGGGGGGCCTGGGGAGTGGCCTCCCGGGTCAGCTGGGGTCAGGGAGGAGGAAGGATGGCTCTCGGGGGCTCGGCTCCCGGGAGCCGGTGCCCAGGTATGAGGAGAGTGTCCGTGGGACGATTCAGCACGTGAAATGGATCTGACGTTCCGTTTTAAACAAAGCGCGTTCCTGACACGGCGTCTATTTTGAGCCTCTGCCATCTGCTTGGCGGCTCTGCCTCCCACTTCCGGGGGCGTGGGGTGAGGCCGGCGCCGCGGTGGCAGACGCCGCCCCCCCCCCATCTGGGGAGAAGCCAGCGGGGCCGGGCGGGCCACGGCCAGCGTGCGGCCTCCTGTGGCTGCGGGTGCAGACGGCCAGTTTCCCGCTTAAACTTCCGTGCTTTAGAGCTGTGGTCGGCAAACTGTTGCTCTCGAGCCACTGCGGCTCTTTGGCCTCTTGAGTGTGGCTCTTCCACAAAACACACGAGGGGTGCGCACGGACAGTGTGATGGAAACTTGGTGGCCCATGGGCAGAAGTCGGTGTTCGGCTCTCCAAAGCAATTCCAGTCGTGGTGCTGTGGATATTTGGCTCTGTTGACAAACGAGCTTGCCGACCACCATTTTAGAGCAAAAAGGGGGCTGTGCCGTCGGCTCAGTGTGGGTGCAGTGGCCCCCCCCCCCCCCGTGCAGGGGCAGGGGCGGGCGGGCGGCTCGGGGTCCGAGAGCAGCAGCCCCTCACACCTTCCCCCCCGCCCCCGTCCCTCCAGTGAGGGCAGACGGGGTGTCCCTGCCCCCGACCTCTATGGTTGGGGGGTGAGTCCTCTGTGCACCGTGCCCCCCCCAGGCCACGCTGGGGGCAGGCACCCCTGGACGGGCAGCCAGAGTGAGTGCTGAGGGGAGGCACTCAGGGGCCGGCCTGCAGGGGGGGGGCCTGCTTGGTGAGGCAGGAGCCGGGCTGGGGCGGAGCGGGGGCCCCGTGCTGTGCTCTGACCCGTGGGGGAGCCCCAGGCCGAGGCTGTGGGAGTGGGGGGGCAGTGAGCACGGGCCGAGCGCGGCAGGTGGCAGGGCACCCGGGCAGCAGGTGCGGGGTCAGAGGGCACGGGGAGGGGCGGCGAGGAGGGGCCCCCGGAGCTGGGTGCTCGAGGCTGCGGTGTCCCCTCTGCAGTTCGGCCGCTGGTTTTGGGGGAGGAATGGGGCTCCCGGCAGCCCCTCACGCCCCCCACTTCGTCCCGTCCCCCCAGTGTACTGCCAGAACTTCGCGCCCAGCTTCAAGGAGAGCGAGATGAACGTGATCGCGGCCGACATGTGCACCAACGCCCGCCGTGTCCGCAAGCGCTGGCTGCCCAAGATCAAGTCCATGCTGCCGGAGGGTGTGGAGATGTACCGCTCCGTCATGGGCGCCGGCGTGGCCCTGGACCCCGAGTTCCCGGCCGCCGCCGCCGCCGCCGCCGCCCAGGTGTTTGAGCAGCGGCTGTACGCCGAGCGGCGGGGCGACGCGGCCGCCCTCGTGGCCCTGAGAACTGACGCCGTGAACGCTGCTGCCGACCTGGCCGCCCCCGCCAATCCCCCCTTCGAGGCCGGGGAGGAGGCCGAGGGGGCCGGCTCCGTCATCCAGGAGGCGGCCGCGCCCGAGCCGCTGCCCGCCGACGGGCAGAGCCCCCCGCGGCCCTTTGAGCAGGGCGGCCCGGGCTCCCGGCCCCCCACACCCGCGGCCCGCCGGCCGGACGGCGCCTACGCGGGGACCCTGTAGGGCCGGCCGGCCTGCTAGCTGCTTGCATGCGTTACTAATACAACCAATGTGATCGAGCCACTCACCCACCGAACGGCGATGCCTGAAACAATGTGATTCCTATCCTGCTTGTATTTAAGGTTCATGAAGGAGACAGGGCACCCCGGACTGAGAGCCAGGAGGCCCCTGGGTGCTCGAGCTCGGTCTCCACGTGTAGCTTCTCCCCCTTCTGGACGGAACGGGCGCGCGGGCCCCCGTGCCCGGCCCGAGCCCCACCCCTCCCTGCCCCTCTTCCAGGGCGAAGCCAGGGACCCGCCTGCCGTCCCCTGTAGCCGAACCCCTGCCGTTTCCTTCCTCCTGCACCGGGCCAGGCGGCCGGTCCGTGTGCATGTGCGTGTGCGTGTGGGAGGGTGACCAGCTGTGATGGGCCTTGCTGTCCCGGGACAGGAGAAAGGGCTCCTGGCTGGACCTGGGCTCCGCCCCCACGGCCCCCCACCCCCTCACACCGGGGCCTCCTCCCCGGCTCCGGCCAGGCTGCCTGCTGGCCTGTGGGGCGTGGCCACCTCCCGGGTGCCCGGTGCTCGGCCGTGTTAGGGTTCTGTGTGTGCCTTTGGGTCTGAACTCACCTCCTCCGTGCACGACCTGGAACCTTTCAGACCCAAAGAGCAAATGGTGAGGGAGGACGGGGTGTCCCTGTCCCCGGCCACTGTGGTTGGGGGTGAGTCCTCTGTGCACCGTGCCCCCTCCCCTGAGGCCACGCTGGGGGCAGGCGGCCCCTGGACGGGCAGCCAGAGTGAGTGCTGAGGGGAGGCCACTCGGGCCGGCCTGCAGGTGGGGGGCCTGCTTGGTGAGGCAGGAGCCGGGCTGGGCGGAGCGGGGGCCCCCGTGCTGTGCTCTGACCCGTGGGGGAGCCCCATGCCAAGGCTGCGGGGGCCGGGGGGCGGTGAGCACAGGCCGAGCGCGGCAGGTGGCAGGGCGCCCCGGCAGCAGGGAGGGGCGGCGAGGAGGGGCCCCCGGAGCGGGGTGCTTGAGGCTGCGGTGTCCCCTGTGCAGTTCGGCTGCTGGTTTTGGGGGAGGAATGGGGCTCCACTTCCCCAGCCCCGCACCCCCTGTGACTCAGGACCCACAAAGCCGAGCCACATGGGTCCCAAGGTGGGGCAGCCTGGGGCGGGGTGGGGGGCTTCTTCCCAGGCTGCGCGGAGCCTCCTGCCACCCACCCTCCAACCCCCGACCTGTTCCTGGCCTCCGGAGAGATCTGACAGCTTCAGGAAGGGGTGGAGACTGGGGGGGGGGAGGGGCCAGGACCCCGGGTGGGAGGGACCCGGAGCTGAGCTCAGTCCCTCCACCGCTGTCCCTGCCGGGTCCTGTGCCCAAAGGGGCTGCGTCACTGGGGCTTCAGACCAGCCACCTGGCCTCGTGGCCCCACCCCCTACCCCCCGGCCCATTTGGGACCAGATGTGGGTCCTCCTGGGAGTGAGAGGAGGCGTGCCCTCAGCACCCTCAGGTGGACTCTGGGCCCTGCAGGTGGTGGTGGGTGAGGCTGACCCCCCATCTCCCCGCGGAGTTTCCTTGATTTGCTCCCCCACCCAAATTTGCACTTTAATTTGATGCCCCCTGGGGACCTTGGACCCACCATCCTGGCTGCGGACGGATGGAGGGCTCCCTCTGTCTCCCTCTCTCTCCTCCACCCCAGAGCGGGCACGGGCCCGCCCGGGGCCAGGAAGCGAGGGTGCTCGGCCGGCCAGCGTGGCCGCACAGAGAAGGCCGGGCCGAGGCTCAGGCCAGCACAATGTCCCGAGGCCTCTGCCCGAATGGCTGACCATCACCGTCCGCCCTGGGGCTCCGGGGGGCGGGGAGGGGGAAAGGCCGAAGGTGAAACTTGAATCGTTCAATGTGAATGGGCCTGAGCTCCGGCCCCGAGGGCCAGGCCGGCGTTTTGCACTAAGTGCCCCGCGTGGGCGTGGGCGTGGGCGTGGGCCCGGCGCATGGCGGGCGGCGTGGCTGATGATTGTATGTGCTGGCGCCCGGCCCGGGCGTCCCTGGGGGCGGCGCGGCCTGGCCCGCAGGCCTTCCAGAGTGCCTTAGCACCTTCCCTCTCCCCTTACCTGCCCCTTCCTCTGTTTACACGACTCATTCCCGTCCCGCCGGCCACCCTCGCCCCACGGCCTCACCCCACGCCCCGTGGACGAGAGACAAGCCACTCAGCATCTGTGAGAAGCTGCACCTTCTCCCAAGCTTGACTGTTAGCAGCACGCACCCACACGCATCTGTCACGGAGCGAGGCACCTGGGGAGGGGCGGGCACCCACGGGTGTGGCTGACGTGGCGGCCACTGGCCCGGGGTCCGGCCACGCCCCGCCCTCCTGCAGGGAGCGGCTGGGGTGGCGGAGGGCGAGGGTCCCTGGGTCCCCGGGTGGGACCAGCAGTGGGACGGATACTGTGAGCACGGCGGGGCCCCGGCCATGGCCGGCGGCCTCGGTACTTGAATTCTGTCTTGTTTTCTGCACTGTGTCTGGCCTCGGCCAGAGTTCTCTGTGGTCACTAACTGTGCATTGGATCCTGTTGTCTTACTGCCCTGACAGGACGTGAGGCCGGGAGAGCCCTCAGGGTGGACCCTCAGCCCCTCTCGGCCTCGGGCGGGGGACCCTGCAGTGGGGGACCGGGCAGGGCTCCAGAGCCTCGGATGTGTTTGTGTTGAGAGCTGGGAGGAAGACGGGAGGGGGGACTGGGGTCCCCGGGTGAGGGACTCGGGGATGCTGCTCTGGCCTGTCCCCCTCGGCAGCAGCACTGGCCCAGGGCCGGCCTCCCCAGCAATGGCTGCTCCGATTCCCCTCCGACGGGCGATCTTTATGGCAATACTTTGCCGTAGGAAAAGGCCGATGGCCCCAAACCACCTGGAAACTTGGAGAAAGCCTTTTGCCTCCGCGCAGTAACCCCGCAGAACGGGGCGCTGAGGTGCCCTGAGTTTTAGCACCGGCGGCCCCACCCGGCACCCCCACGAGGCACCCCGGGACCGAGACCCTGAGGGCCAGTGCGAGCTGTTTCTATCGTGGCGAAGGTTTGGGGTTGTTGTTTGTTTGTTTGTTGTGTTTCTTTGGGGGGGGGGAAACCTGGAAAGGAAAATTACGCAGAATCTAAAGGTTCAGATTGGACCACCTGCTCGCATTCCGATCGGTCGCTTCCCTGTTCGCGTTTTGCACATGACTGTAATGTCTACGTCCACAGAAGCCAAAACTCGCAATACTGTTCTCACCAGAGAGGAGAGCTGAGTGTAGAGTCGGACGGATGTTGTTGACTTGTACCTTTGGACGATCCCGGGCGCAAACGGACCCTCCCCCTCCGGGCCTCCCCGGAGCCGTGTGTGGGCGTGGGCCCCGCCGCCTCGACTGTTACAACCATAAACCAAACACGCACGCCTGAGCCCGAGGGGCTGGCTCCACGCATGCACACGGCGGCGCGCGGCCTCAACCCTCGCCTTTTTTTTGCTTTTTTCTTTCTTTGGAGAAGGAGGACACCCGGTGTTTGTCGCTGGGCCCGGCTCGGGCTGTCGCTTCCTCGCCACGGCTGACGCTGTTCCAATGACTCAGCCCCCGAGACGCCCGCCGGGCCACACCGCGCTCCCGGCTCCCGGCTCCGGCTCTGGCTCCCGGCTCCGGCTCCCGGCTCCCGGCTCCGGCTCCCGGCTCCCGGCGTGCTCAGAGCCACTCTGTGTGTGGGTGTCCGTCACGGACAGACGGAGGACACGCCCTGTCGTTGTAAAGCGCTTTGTAAAGTTCACATTTACAGAATAATAAAGTCAGTTCAAACCCGGTGGCCTGGGCCGTGCTTGGACAGGAGGGTGCGGGGGGGCACAGAGAAGCCAGGGAGGGGGCTGGGCTGTTGGGGCAGAGTGACTGCTGTGCTGGGCTGCCCTCAGGCCCCGGGGGGAAAGCTTGCTGCCCACTGCCCCCCCCCCCCCCCGCCTCTCTCTCCCTCCCCCCACAGTGTCACATGGGGGAGGGGCTGCTGGGCAGGATGGCCTGGGGTCATGAGCCTGGCTGAGGGCCTCCTTGTCTTCCTTGTTCTAAACCCTCGCCGAGGGCATTTCCCGTAAACTGTTAGGGGGAGTGGAAGTGAGGGGAAGACGGAGAGAAACACCGATGGGGGAGCAACACATCGATGGGTTGCCTCCTACAAGCGCCCCCACCAGGGCCCAGGCCAGGGAGGAGCCTGCCACTGAGGTGCGTTCCCTTGACCACCCTTCGGTCTGCAGGCCAATGCTCTATCCACTGAGCAACACTGGCCAGGACTCATTTCCTTCTCACCTCAGCCGGCTCCCCTGCCTGCCTCCTATGCCCCCTCCTGGGCCCGCCTGCCCCCCGTGGACTGAGGAGGAACTGCAGGTGGGCGAGGAGGCTCCACCTCCCAGCTGCCTGGGGAGTGTCCCTCCCCCCTGCAGGCGGGTGGGGTTCTGGGGTTCAGGCCCGGCCCCTCTTCTCCGCGGGAGCCCTGGGGCCTGCCTGGGCTCTCTGGGCCCGGCATCCGGGCGTTCGTGGGTGTTGTCGCTGGCCCTGTGTTTGCCTCCTGCCAAGGACATCTGTGGGGGACGGGGGGGGGGGCGGGGAGCTTCACTCCCTGACCCGGGAGGGTCTGGTCCAGAGTGGCCACCCCACCGGGTCTCCCCCCTTCTCAGGCCTCGCACCCCCAGTCTGCGAGCTGGGGCTCACTGAGAGGGGCATCCACTCAGCCATGCAGGCCCCTCCCCTCAGGCCTTGAGGCTGGTGGGCAGGTGGGTTCGGGTCACCCACCTGGGCCGGTGGAGACGCCAGCCTGTGGCCGTGGACAGTCAGGAGGGCCCCAAACCCCACAAGCCCCCCCAGGCCAGCTCGGCCCCCCAGGCCAGGCCAGCTGAGGCCACGGTGTGTGTGTGTGGGGGGAGGGCAGGTATATGAGGGCGTCGGCTGGAACCCAGGCCCCGCCTGGTGCTCGGAGCCCTCAGCCCGAGCTTCAGCGGCCTTCCCGCCCTGCAGCCTCCCAGGACAC